TCAGGGGGGTTGGACTAGATTACCCACAGAGGTCCCTTCCAACCCCTACTATTCTGTGATTCTGTGATTCTGTGATTCTGTGATCTCCTCGGGGATGGGCTGGCCCACCGAGCTGTCACTTGACGTCCCTCAAGCACCCTTTACAGCCAGGACCCGGCAGGACAGGAGTCCCGACCCACGCACAGCCTTCCCCCTTCTCTGCTTGCAGCTGGTGGCGGTGACTCGGCGCTGGACCATGGTGCTGTGAGGGTGAGCTGCTGCCAAGCGCCAGGATGCAAAGTGCCCCTGGCAACAGGCTGCCCCTCGCCGCGCTCCTCCTCGGCCTCCTCCTGCAGCAGCCAGGCAGCAGCAAGGCATGGAAGCAGCATGCCCCACGCCTTCGCCTCGCCTACAAGGGTAAGGACACCCAGGTGGGCTTCCCAGGGTTCTGTGCCTTGCTTGGAAGGGCTGGGAGAGCATCCTGCGGGCGGGCCTGAGGATGCTGCACTGGTGCTGCTGGCATCAGAGCAGGGCGCTGAGCGGCGAACACCTTGCCCTGGTCCAGCACAATGCTGGGACCAGCAGGGATGGCTCTGCTCAGACTCACTCTGGGCATCTCCTGGCGTGTCCTGGGCTGCAGCTGAGCTGGGTAGCCCCAGGTTGTCATGCTCACACTGCAATGGGGACACTGAGCCCCAGGCACTGCTGCTGGCCCCTTCCTCTGCCTCTCACCAGCACAGTCCTGCCCCAGTCAGCCCTTCTGCCCTTATCCCTCCTTTTCTGCTGTGCTGAGGCTGATCCATTGGACAGATCTTATCCCTGCTGCACTTCACCCTTCCCCCGTGCGTCTGTCTTCTCTGTTTAGATTATGAGCTCTTCAGAGGAGGCACAGTTTGCTCTTTTTGTGTTTGATGCAAAGGGGGGCCTCTCCCTTGTCATCTGAAGATGCAACAGGAGCAGGCTGACAGGTAGCACAGTACACAGCCTGGCAGGGAAGTACGGATGGGGAGAGTCTCTAGTGAAAGGCTCTCTGCAGGGGAATGACCCGAGCGGTTAGAGCAGAGCCCTGCTAGCCCGGCACCCGGTCACCCTGCCATGGACCTACAGCAAGGACTTGGCCAAGTCACCTGCATTCAGCTTCTCCTATGTGAAAAAGAGCAAGTTGCTCTGGCAGGCAGACAGCTCAGCACATCCCTGGTGCTGCCCTGGACGCGGCAGTCGGCAGGGCTCAACCAGCCCTACTCCACACCTCTGAGGCAGCAGTGTGGCTTGCCCATCGGCATCGCGCTCAAAGGTCTGGGGCCATCCTCCTGGCCTGCTCCATCACCCTGAGAAGCTGCTCCCTGAGCAGTGGTCACTGGTGGTGTGGAAGATGCCCCTGGCTGGTGGCTGGAGAGGGCTGGACCTCCCAGGGATGCAGGATATCCCTGTGGGGAGATGGTCCCCACTGATACCCCGGCGCGGAAACATGATGCAGAGCCTGCCTTTCCTTGGAGCCAGAGGAGACAAAGCAGGGCTGCTGGGGCAGCAGCAGCGCAGAGGGACTGCAGACTTCAAAGCCCCTCAGTGTGCTGGGGTCAGACATGCCCAGAGCCCTCAAGTCTTGGGCAGAGGCAGGAGAGGAAGCTCCCAGCATCAGGAGGGCTCAAGGACAATGTGAACAATGGCAGGGGATGTGACTCACAGACAGCAGGTTCAAGGACACAATGCCTTGAGAAGTTTAGGTTTAAAAACCCCAAGAAAAAAAATAATACAAGGAGGCCTTTGAGCATCTGTCTACAGGATAAGCCTTGCCCTCAGATCCCAGCGTGGAGGAGGCAGGCAGAGCCCTTCGGGGCAGGGGGAGAAGATGCAAGCAGGCTTGCGAGGAGGAAATGACAGCACCGAAGGCTGGGAGAGAAAAGGAAGGATGGGGCACAGGGCACGGGGCCAGGAACAACAGCAGCGGCTCCCACCCTGCCGCGGAGGCGAGGAGGAGGTTTATAATAGCACGCCGGCGATCGCGGCCGCGCGAGAGGCAGCCTCCGGGTGTGCTCGGTTCAGCTGGGGGAGCACAGCCTCTGGGTAAGCTGGGTCAGGCTGGGTCAGCCCTGACGCTGCCCGGAGCTGAGCCTCTCTGTTTTCTGCGGCCATGCAGCAGTGCAGCTGTGCAGTGAAACCACAGCACGCCTCCCGGCTCCGCTTACTGTAATAATCCGGCGCAGGCACAGCTAGGAGCTGGCAAATGGGTCTGCTGCCAGCCTTGGCTCTGCAGCCAGCCCAGCCGGGCATGACCCAGAAGCCATCACCGTGCAGCAAGCGCTCAGGAGCGTGAGAGGCTGATGGGTCTCTGGCTGTCGGCACCAAAAGCTGCGCTGGCACGTCCCTTCTCAGCCGACGGCAGTGAGGGGCTGGAGCCCGATTTAGTGGCAACCTTCCCCTGGGCTGCAGGGATCTCCTCTGTGGTCTGATCTGTCTGGTGGCTGGGGGAAGGGGAGAGGACAGCCCCCCGGCACAGCCGGGCTCTGACCCCAGGAAGCCCAGGGTCGCCCTGCACCGAGGACGCTGTGGCTGAGGGGCAGGCGGAGATGATGGATGGGACAAGGCGGTTACAGTGGTCCCGACAATGAAGAAAAACACCGTGGCCTTGGGAGATAATGAACACAAAGGAGAGGATGTTCCTCTGGGCTCACCCATCGGTTCAGCCACAGCGCAGCTGCTGCAGAGCATGCCTGGTTCCCTGCCTCGAGGGTCGGGGCTTGGAGCAAACACCCTGTGTGTATAGCTGGACTGGGAGCAAGAAGAGGCTGGTTTGTGCGCAGCAGCTTCCCGCGTACAGGGTCTGCATCCACCACACTCGACATACGCTTGGTGAGGGAGCAGAACCATACCAAAGAGCCAGGCTCGAGCCCTCCTGGTCATTGACGCTGCCAGAGGTCTCACTGTGCAAGTGTAGGGCAGGGAGTCCTACTCTCAGCAGTAGGGAGGGCTCCTCCATCGTCCTGCCTGACCTTGTCCTCGGACGGGGCCAGGACAGGTCAGAGGGGGGACCAGCGGGTGACATCCCCTGGGACCAGCCTTGCCCCACTCCGCTCAATGACACCCACCCACCTGACGAACCTTCGACCTTCCCTCCCACCCCGACCTGACTCCCCAGTGCCCTGCTGACATTTCCTCCTGGATCCGGCAGGTCCTGGGAGTGTTGGCAGACACAGGAGGGTTGGCAACACACAGCAGCCCTCTGGGGACCCAGTGGTGACAATGGCCCGCAGGCAGGGACAGGAATTCGGCTGTTAATCCCATTCAGCTTGTGGGAAATGTCTTGGAAATCGGCCTCCCCATAGCCGTAGCATCCAGAGGACGCCCCATGCGAGCTCGAGGGACAGGGGAGAGTGAAGTGGGGCTGTGCACAGTTTTTGTGGGAGCAGGAGGAAGGCCGGGAGCTCCTCGACAAAGCTGGGAGCAGCTCCTGGGAGAAGGGGATATGTGTCCCGCGGTAGCTCTGACACCACAGGAAGGGGAGAAGGAAACGCTAGCTGGGAGCCAGCCTGGCTGCGGCGGCGTGGATCCGGGCAGCGATCCCTGCCTCCTGCCTGGGGCCCAGCAGGTCCTTCCCCCGCGGGGACGAGCAGACGTCAGTGCCATTTCCAGCTCGCAGGCACTGGCGACGCTTCCCCCCTGCCCTGGAAACGGGGTGGAAGGAAGAGAGACGCAACCTCCCGGGGCAGCCGGTCCCCTTTGAGAGGAGCCGTGCCCGTCCCCACGTACGCCCCACCTGCGCTCCCATCCACCCGGCTCCCCGTGACAGCTTCCCTCCCTCCGTTCCTGGCACACTCCTTCCCTCCACAGGATTTTCGTGATGTCCCAGCCTGGGTCTTAAAGGTCACCTCGGGTTTCCAGTCGCGCTCCAGTCCCCATCCAGCAGCAGCCCGTCCCCGTCTCTCCTTCCCACGGCTCCTTTCCACACACTGCAACAAAGCGGAGAGCCCTGCTCTCATAGCCAGCCTGCACCCTCTCCCAAGCCAGATCCCGCCACCTTGGAAAAGAGATGTGTTAGAATTTCTGGCAGCCCTCAGGCCCGTCTCGGTGCTGGTGTCTCCTGCCTTGATCCCGGAGAGGCTGTTTCAGGAGCAGTCAGCCAAGACACAAGAGCGTATTGTCCCTCTCGCACACCCACACACCCGCAACTGTGCCGGAGGGGCCATGCCAGCCGCCCCCAGGCTGCCGCACAGGAGGAGCGACAGCCTGAGAGCAAAGCCTTCCCCGCTGCCCTGTCCCTGCTCCTCCTGGACCGTGCCGGGTCCATGGCTCATTTTCCTCCTGGGCAAGGCGGCTTTTCCCTCCAGCAGTGCCAAAGGGGTGCTCTTAAGAGCCCTTTTCCTGAGCTGGTCTAAGGCTGGGTTTAGGCTGTGCCTCAGGACGTAGCGGGGGAAACGTGGGGTGGCAGCTGCGGGGTCAGAGTGGCACCCAGGACGCAGCTGGGGACTTCCCTGACAAGCTCCTTGGGCCAGGGACCGGCCGTCCATCTGTCTGTCTGTGCGTCCCAGGGCACTCAGCCGCCTGCCCATCCCTGTGCCTGGGGTGAAACCCAGCAGCAAGCAGCCACTTCACAGCCGAAAGGGCTTGGGGACGGGCGGCGGGGAGCGGCGTCCAGGCTGGGCTGTGGCAGCTGTGTTTCTGTACAGCCTTCCCTTGGGAAGATGCTTCGTCCCACCAAATAGCCAAAACCTTTTTCATGTAAAATCTTTCAGTCTGAAGCCCAGGAGAAGGTGGGAGCTACAGCAAGCGAGTCTCCTGTGTTCTCAGCCCTCTCTCCATGGTTTTGGGGTGCAGAGGCTTGCAGGCTCCAAGAGCTCCTCGGAAAGGCAAAGGCTGGAAGTTGAGCAACCTGGGCTCCTTGGCCCGCACCGCTCTCCTGCCTCGCGCCCTGCAAACCAGCCCAGGGCAAGGTCAGGGCAGTTTTGCCCTTTGTAGGGGTGTCTCACTGCTTTTTCCTCATGGGAGGAGGCTTCATGATGAGCTTTGGGGCATCAAGGGTGCTGTTTTTCTGCGAAGGCAGTGGCAGGAAAGTTGTGTTCCCATGGGGCAGGGGTGGGTAGCCAGAGCTGGCCCGGAGAGGGGGAGCACAGGGCTGCTGGCTGCTTGCTGCGTCACTCACAGATGGGTTTCTTTTTCTCCTACCTTGTGCTCCTCAGATCTGCTGAAATCCAACAGCTCTCGCCTGTTGCTGGCCTCAGGGGAAGGGCTGGATTTCCAGGCCCTCTTGGTGGATGAAGACAGGGCCTGGCTGATGGTGGGAGCGAAAAACCACATCTTCCTGCTCCACCTGGACCATCCCAGCAGAGAGCCCGAGAAGGTCAGCGCTGGGAGGAGGTTGTGAGCATGACCCTGGCCAGGCTGGCCCCTTCCTCCCTGGGAGCTGCTCCTTGTTTCAGTGCCGAGGCGTGGAGGTGGATGTGCTCCGAGCCGGGCGGCTCTAACATCACCAGGGACACATTTACACCAGGATGTCTCAATCAGTGGGGCCAACCCATCCCTGGCGGTGTTGAGTCCCGCTGGGACCGGCCGAAGCCGGGGAGGGATGGGGCAGCTTGGCCAGGAGAGGAGACCCGGGTGGACCCCGGGTGCCGGTGGAAGGGCAGTGCCCGGAGCCCTGCTATCACACCCAGTCCCTGCTGCCGCTGCAAGAGCTACCACAACCGCAGCGGCGAGTCCACTAATGTCATCCCAAGACATCCTGCTGGCAGGGTGCGCAGCCCAAGCCCAGCGAAAGGGAAGCCCATTAAGGCGCTGCAGCCTGGCGTTCCCACGGGCCAGCATCCAGCAGAGCCTGCCCACCGGCTGGGCGTGCCGTGGCCCACCCAGGCTCTGTCCCCACGCCAGACCCACTCTGAGCCTATTTGGCCCGCTGCCTGCTGAGCTCGGCCGGGCCCTGCGGACCCCGGGGGGTGTCAGACCTGTGGCAGAGCAGCCCCGCGTCCTCACCGTGCGCCTGAGCCTGGCGGCAGCTTTTGGCTGAGCCCTTTCCCACCGGTGCCCGTGGGAGCCCAGGCAGTTGAAGCAAAGGAGGGTTGCATCGGTGGGGTCTCTGTGTTGCAGATTTTCTGGCCGGCGTCCAGGGAGCAGGTCGAGCATTGCCAGCTGGCGGGGAAGAACGTGGAGGTAAGCAGTGCTGGCAGCCCTAGCTCACAGCCTTCTGCGGTTTGCCACGGATATTAAACACCCACATCCCCCTGACAGGGAGCGTGGGGGTCTGCCTGAGGTGAGTGTTGAGCCAGCTGGGGTTAGGCTGAGCTTACTGGCTGCCAGGTCAGGATCTGGCCAGGCTCAGGCTCCCGGGTAGACACGCCACGGGGCTGGACACGAGCACCCAGAGCTGGGCTCAACCCACTAACAAACCTCTCCCCTCGAGCCGACCGAGTGTGTTCATCCGCCTCCTCCAGCCCTTCAACAGGAGCCACGTGTTCGCCTGCGGGACCGGCTCCTACCAGCCCGTCTGCGCCTTCATCCAGCTGGGAGCCAGGGGGAAGGTGAGGGACACCCTGGTCAGCCACCTCCCCACTGCAGAAGGTGGCAAGTGGGGAGAGGGTGCCCCGGAGATGGGGGACAGTGGCCAGCCAGCCTGGCATGGTCCCTGACACTTGCACAGCCTTGCTGCCCATGGCAAGAAGCAGCCCTGGCCAGTGCCAGGGTGACCCATGGGGATGGCACTTGGTCCTGGAAGTCTCCCGAGGGATCCGCTCATTGTAGAGCCGAGCACACCAACCTCCTTCCCACTCTGCTGCACATGCCCAGCCTGCTTCCAGCCTCCCCGCCCCGGGCTGACTTCTCCACTTTGGCTCTGGCAGGGTCCCGGGGCTCCCCTCATGCGGTTGGTGACGCACTCCTT